TATATATGTTAAAAAGCGATATGAAAGGTTATATAGAAGTATCGTTATTTTGAAAGCTAGAAGCTTGAAAGTTATTTCGAAAGCTAGAAGCTTGAAAGTTATTTTTAGGCTATTGGTTAAATCTAAATAAATAAGACATTCAAAATTGGAAAATATTATACTCTTAAGGGTGTAAATTAAAACATGGGATGTAAGTTTGTATGAAATTCCTCATTTTATGAAGCTGGAACGAAGAAACTTCTTTAACTTATTTGGGTTAGATTATTAAATATTTTTCCTTTATTTGGTGACTAAACATTATCGTTAACTAACGATTTAACGACTAAACAATAATACAAACAGTATTATTGTTATTGATAGAAAAAAATAGTACTGAATCTTGAAACTCGTATCATCTCGTGCTCGAAATGTCAAAAATGCCTATTTTTTTCTCGTATGGGTTAAATAGGACTGAGTAAATACAGTTTACGTTTATTGCCTCACAAGATTTACACAAATCACTTACATAAGAAAATTAATAGGTACCTTATTATATTTATTGTTAAGAGCAATTTGTTGAATATTTTCTATAAAATTATACACTGAAACGCTATGTGATTCGATACTTAATTATATTGCTTAAATTGTAAATAATCTTAAATGTCCTTTCTAAGAAAGTAATTTATTTATTTTATCATAACCAATATTCTTTGAGTTTATTATTTCTATAAACTAAACGTATCTCGATTTGATTGATGCGTCTCGACGCAAATAGATTTTTCGACAGCCGAGATTTGATTGATCAATCACATTAATAAATTATATTTAATCTGTTATAATCAATATACCTATGTAATAATTGTTTTCATCCAGCTTTCTAATTAAGGATTAAATTTTTAACCTACACAAGTATGAAGTGCGCGTTACCATAATAAGTTTTCTTAGGTAAGCCTACCTTTACCACTGCGACTCAGGTACCTATCCATAGTCTTCAAAATGGCGTATTGCAAACCAGATATAATACTCATAAACCTAAATGACGTACATCAAAAAATTAACTTCGTAGTAAAACATGTGACTGTGCATTTAATAAAAATTATTTAAATATTATTGTCGAATTTCCATTTCAGTTCAGTGTTATGATTATTAATAGGTTTAGTACCTATAATATACCTATAATTGTATATCATTCGTCTTTCATTTTCAACTACCTGAGTTTTCTCTTTATTTAATCATTATTAATTATTTTTTTATTATAATTAACATGATTCGTACTTATATACAATGAAATACATTCTCAAATACAATGAAATTCAATGTACTTTTTTTATATTTTAAGTATTCACAATCGTATAAATTTTTTGTGCCCATATTGTTCAAAAAAGTATATTGAATTTCGTTGTATGTGAGTAAGACTCAACGTTTCAAACTTGTCGTAGCATGGTACCGAACTCATTCATTAAAAGGAAAACGTTGTTAATTGAACTCTATGTATTTACGATAGTTTTAAAATGCAGTACTTTGTTGCTTGTATTATACATAATATATATAGGTATTTACTTATTAGATAGCAACTAACTGATGCACACACAGTGGAAACTTCTACATATAGAAACATGATACGCGCATTGGTGTCCTATATAACCCAAGTAAGCACTAATGTTAGGAACGGAAATGGCTACCTACAGGTTATGCCGTGGGAAGCAACAAGTTATTCAAGACGATGTAATATTATATTTATAACAAAGTCGACACACAATGTTAAATAGTAATATAAAGAGAATATTATATAACTGAATTACATTATAGTCAATCAAACATAAAATAATAGGTATAAACTAAGTATAATTCATAAATTAGTTCTAAAAGTTCAGAAGTTACTTACCTCTAAAATTAGTCGGCCTATTGTCTTTTTTTTTCTTGAATATTCTTATATATTGTCGGTTAAATCAAATCTTAACGAAAGCAAGAGTATTTGGTTGATTTTAAAAGTTTCACGATTAGTATTTTTACGCAATTCTAAATGTTTTTGTCGGTTTCAATAGCATGTAGAAGCGTGCAACGGCTGCCGTTGCTATGGTCAACGCGAGTGGTTTGTGCCGCCCGCTAAATTTAGCCTCGCGGACTGTGAACGCATAATATTTTTTCAATGAATTTCAAAATATTCACAGGATTTCAGAAGTTTATAAACTTAAATGTTTACATTTTGTATTTAATATGTTGACGACCTTGATGGTCTAGCGGTTCACTTCTAGACCACCAAGGTCGTCACTTCCGATGGTCGCGGATTTGAATCCTGGCACGGCACAATCATTTGTATTCATGAGTATGATTGTATGGGTGTTTTCTATGCATATTATATATTAACAAAAAAAACATCTACGTATTTATATCAGTTGTCTAGTACCCATAACACAGCAATTTTTTTTTATATTATATATTATAGGTGTATAAGTGATGACAATTGACTATATACATTTATGTCTCAATAAGAGATTTAGAAAATCAATAAATTACTTATTGGTTTTCCAAATCTCTCACTGAATCAAAAACGTATATAGTAAATTATATACCGTATTAAAGAAACCAACAGTAAGGATTTGTTTATGAAAATACTTACACTTTGGTTCTTCAATACAATATTTATTTTTAATCTAGTAAGTATTTCCGAATAATATAAAACGAGGTAAGCGATTTTTACTAATTATACATATTAATAATGACCGCGTCAAATTTGAAAACAGTATGTATATAATTAGGTAATTAAAACTTGATTCTATCGTATAGTAATTAATAAGATCAATGAAGATACCACTAAATATGTATAAGTTTTTTTTATTAATTGATATGGCAAAATAGACGACGGCCCATGTAATGGCAACCGGTAACAGTTACTTATATATATGAACAGCATTAAGGATATTACATTATCATGCGGCACCCATCATGCCACTCATACTTTGCAATTCCAGAGTACTACGATGTCATGCTTCTTGTCCTGTTTATTCACCCTTCGTCGGTAGATACCTTTTAACTAAAACAAAACTGAAAGATAAAACTGAGGTACACCTACGCATATGACTTATTACGTTTTTATTTCAGAATAAAATATTTAGAGGTACATATTACGTTTTCTAGAAGGTTTTGATCAAAACTAGGCTCATGATTTTAAAAAATATTTAGAAAATATTATACAGCCTATTTACAATACTGCTTTTAAAAAGATAAGGTCAAATATATATCTCTTTTTATACAACTTTAATATACAAGGAAGGGGAAGGGATGTTGTAATGGGGCATAGTTACCCCATTGCTAACAATTTATCATGTTACGTCGACCTCCACGCGATTGCCTCTAGAAACCATCGTGGTTAATTCCTGGTGAATTCGTCACGATGGGCTAACTATAAATGCGTGAGAATCAAAATTTTAACCTTTAAGCTCACCTTAATGTATATTTATTGTTGGGACCTTGGCCCTTAGTCTATAAGCACCCCATGTACAGACATGCGTGTTACAGTCGTGCTGTGTTGAGACTGGACTTAATACAAGCTCCATTATCATACTATTTCATGGAGTTATTTCAATTTCATCTAAATTCGTGAAGGTAATGTCATGTAATTACATGAAGTTCTTGTCATATAATGACCTTCACTAATTTCACTTCAAGAATTTAGATGAAATTGAAATAATTATATTGTTTAATTCGGTTTTCATCTAGGCTAGGCTAGCAGATATTTTTAGTTTTATTTTTATACTATAGTTAGAACTTGTAGTATCAAGTAAATTAGGTTACTCAATTAGGTACTAAATAAATAGAACGTAATACTATTATTATATTTATATTTACGTAATATCTGCTTTCACGGCAGATTCCATATGGGCTTGGCAGAGTAGCACTAATATATTATATACAGCTGACTGTACAATATGCATGTACTCAATATTGTAATCTGAATTTCTATTACAGCAACACAGCATTGATGTTCCACAGAAGTGGAAGATAAGACATATCAAATGTACTGTCTACCCACGCAAGTTAGGGACATATAATACCCCGCAGCTGTTCCAGGTGATATCATAAATCATTATCCAGTCAGCTACTTAAGAAACTGATGTTAACAAATAATAGCACTGGTTAGGAAATATAATACTTTATTAAGATACCTAGGAATGCTTCTTAAACATTGTAGTACTTAGAAAAAGATATCAATGTATAGGGCGCAATGTGTGGTCGCGTCTTGAGTAAGTACTTGTTTGCTTGTTATTACTGAAATCAAATATAGGTACATTCTGTATTACTGAACAATTAATAATACTACATACATAATAATTTAAAAAAAATGAGTATGTTCTGAATTAAAATCTAATAAATTACAGAACCATCTCACCCACGGCAGCTTTCAAACGAAAAAACTGTATCATAATTGGTTCACTCCATTAGCAGCTACGATAGCACAGACAGATACATATTTATATATATATTGATACGTCAAACTTATAACTGTTTTCATTCTGGTTTACAAAAATCTATTTGACATAATTTGTATTAATGAACGTTTGAACGGGTAATAATGGAAACGGAAATTTGACGTATCACATGAACAGTAATAAACAGATATGTCAAAAATTGTTACAATAAAAATATAAGTTAAAAACTGGAAATGTTGTATCATTATTAATTTATCTCGCCGTCAATATATATATAATTAAACAACCGCACAACAGCGATTTACAGCAATTTATTTGTAAGAAAAATACAAAAAGAAAGACAAACACACAATATTACACGGCATTCATATCAACGTTAACAATTCGTTGAGCAACATCAAGACAATTTCGTAGAACACTATCTAAAATGGAAGAGGTGATAATATCCATCTATATAAGGTTGTAATGAATAGATTCATAATCGATTCGAATGGTATTAAAAATTATTCACAAAGTCATAAATAGTCATTGCTTATATTTAAGTAGTATTTCTATTGTAACATAAAACAATAAAAACTCACTCAAACAAACTTTTGAATATGAAAATTGGGATGTCGAAGTACACAGCAATAAGAGACAATACTCCCAAAGAACTGATAATAGCAATCCTCCAACTACGTTGTTTCAAAAGGAAACTTTTACTGAAGACATTCCCGACACTAGATCTAGTATTTTGGCGCCTGAAATCATTTACACGAAAAAACATAAAGTAATAAATTATAAAATAATATTAATTATACACTATTATCTAGTCCCAAAGTAAGAATCATTTTTACTGTGGGCACTAAAACACTAATTTTACTAAATACAATAGTATTTTTTTTTTGTAATTATAACTGCATAATAGCAATGAAAAGTATGGAAAAAATATTTATTTTTAGTGTTTCCGCTGCGTGCATTACATAAACTCTTATAGTTACGCAAAAATATGTAAGTCTGAATTGCTGTGCTTTAAAAGCTCTAACAAAAAGTCTATGACAATATCAATATCTTTATTTTAATATCTTTATTTACTTTTTGATGTTAATCAAATTTCTTCTAAAATAGTGCTTTATTTGCGAACCTTTTTATAAATATGATATTAATCCTTAACCAATTCAATTATTAATACGTTAGTATTTTTGTTAGTAACAGTTTAAATGTTTAATGAATATTGGGTTCGTGTTAAGTCGGTACAGATTACTAATCACGTAATATAGTATAAATAATTGTTGATATACGTAAGCACTTTGAGCGGTATATTGCCGTATGTTTGTTATAAAACGCATTTCAAAACATTAATATTAATAACGTATTTGCAATGTTATCGGAACCCTCGTTGCAGTTTCTGCACACATGCATTATTCTGAAATGTTTCAGCGCAGAAACACCGTTACTAGAATCACACATAAAATGGATTGATATATTGATACTGAATTCCATTTGCTTTACATATCTATTTTCACTTAAAAAATAATCATTATTATAAGCTTATATTATACAGAAGAAATGTATCATTTGTGTCAGTAAAAAAATCAATACAAAACAATTTAATTCTTTTTTACATTTTAGCAAGCTACTATAACGACAAGTAAATCGGCTGTAGTTAGTTTATATGCAAAATTTCGTTTATTATATAATAGTATTTGCATCAATGTAAACCCGACAATATATTTGATATTACAGTCAGAATTAATCATAAATGTAATATAATATATGTATCGTATTTATATAATTTTTTTAATACATACACAATCTTCATAAAAAAAAACATCACGACCGTGCAAAGAATCGAATCCGAGAACATCGGAAATAAGACGGTATGCTAAACCGCTAAATCATAGAGGCCGTTGTATATGATTATAGTCGGATAGATTTGCAGTGGTGGCTACTGATTCAATCTACATTGATCTGACTGCAACTATTTGCATGTATGAATATGTCCGTGTTTGTTTGACAATTTCTATTTGAATTTATTCATAGACTAACGGCCCATGTCTTCGCAAGTTTGTGTAATGTATGACGGAAGTTGCATCACTAAGTGCATGGATTATACATAAATATATTCCGGAAGTAATCCCTAAATTACAGTGTATTTATTATGTAACTGGATTAGCTATACAAGCAACCGGTCCTCCTGTAGATAAATGGAAATCGACGTTTATGCACATGTATAGTACCATGGTCATCACGACATCACGTAATACCCGTGCTACCGCTTAGACGTTGCCATTCTGGAACGCTAGTCTAAAAGTCATGCCTCTGATGCTTGGTGACTTATTAAAGACATCTCACAAAGAAACTTGCTTGGCAGAAATAGATGAAACTGAGGTACCGGAACGACTTTTTATAAAATATACCTAGCTCTCTTCTCCGAATGGCGTCTTATTATAATAATAAATACCTACATTGGTTCAGGTAACGGTAAAGGAGGTCCGCGTCCAAATCCAACAGGCATCAACGCAGCTTTGTATTTTGGCAGCACAGTCATTTCAAGGTCTATAGCTCCCTGAAAAATAAAAAAAAATAGATATACAGTTTCACATACCTCAGAGATCATGGTGTACGATAATACTTGTAACGGAATAATGGACATTGAACTGACTTCAAAGTAGATAAAGTTGCGTTAATTTTTATCTAAATTTACGTATCCAGGATGGTGGGAGATGGGAGGGGGTCTGTCTGCACCTATTGGATAATTACATGCTTTACAATATACTATCCATAAGTTTTGAACAATAACTGTAACTTGACCTACGAAATATTGCTTGATGCTATGAAAACTTGCCCACATCTCCAAGATCATAAAATATATCTTCTTATACTGGATATTAAATTACTACAACAAAATGTTATTTTAGATTACATTAGATTTACTTGAAAAGGTATATGTACAATAAACATTTCAAAATAAACTGTGTTTACTGTTAGTATATTCATCCCACTATTTTTGTCAACAAAAACCAAAGGCCACCAAGCTCTGATTGATCTAGATGAGAATAGATTCACTTTTTTTGACGATTCCAAGACCTTTAAAGTACATTGTTGGGCTTGCTTTTCTCCCCTTGGCAAAGCATTCAAATTCAGCGCTGATGATCCTGTAATATTTATAATTATATCGTAAAGTATATTAGTATGTACAGTAAGAGTAAGTAATTACAAAATTAAGTATCAACAAACTTCAGGATATCGCAAGAGACGAATACAGACACAAAGTTACTGTAAAATACAGTGAAAGAAACATGCGAGTGTATTTGGAATGGTTGATAACTGATATTACAATAAGTAGTTACAGTCGCCTATATACATGAATAGCACTATAGATATCATGTGGCATTCGTGTTCCCGATCATGCGTTGTTATTCCAGAGGAAAAAGATGTTATGTCTCTTATCCTGTAATTTCACTGTCTTATCTCATCCCACCGAAAAACAGCTTATGAAGCAGGCTGCTTGATGACAGCTAAATAATGTACAAGACTCATAAAAGAAAAACACCAACTAACAACAAATAAGTTGTGTGCTAAGAAGTTATATGATAAATTACCCAAATAGTCATCTGAAGATGCAGCATCATTATCTACCACTTGAATTAAAAGAATAGGTGGAAGTCGTTCTTCGTATTCCGTAAACGGTCCAGTTTCTTTAAATACTAACTGAAAATTATTGCTACATTAGTCTCGAGGTACTATCCCATTAGCAGTTTCAACAAAATAACACTCGGAAGTGTATTCCATAAAACATAGAAGACGCTATAAGGATATCGACTTCTGTAAAGTACAAAATAAAAAGCCTGTGATAAAAATAAAATAGGCTCTGCACTGTCTTATGTTAATGCTGAACAGGCTGTAAAGATGGTAACGCTCTATAAAATTATCTATGTATTTATTTTGACACTATGCACCTTACGAGGTAGGCAGAGAGAATCAAATGCACAACTCAAACGAATAATTAATATTCGTAAATATATAAATATAAATTTATACTGTTAGCATAATTTCTTGTAGAAATATAAAAACTAGAACAATTAGAATTTACCTATAGACTGACTTTTTAGTAAATAGTAAATTCTACTTTCGAAGTTTTATAATGCGCTTAAAAAAAGTACAAAATACGTAGCTGGCCAGCCCAACTTTCCAACTTAAATATGAATAATAGTCCTCAGAATTCAGAAACTTCGCTAGCTACGAAACTGGAAAATAATAGAACGGGGAAGATAAGTCTATTCAGCAGTTAATGAAGTAAAATTTAACATACCATTCTGTCAGCATGTTGATAGTAGAATTGAAATATCATACGCCAATTGATACCAATCTCTTTGTCACTATAATAGTGCAAGTCTGATGCTTGAGTTTGGTTAACCGAACCAATCCACCTATTATTATAGCAACATTAGTCAATACAATAGAAAAGTAATAATATTAGTACTTTATATTTTTTTTATTTTTATGTAATTAGGATAGCGAACAACTGACAGTAAGTAATAAAAAGTGGCAAAAATAAAAAATAATTCAAGTAGGACATTTTAGCCGCTTATTATCGAAATTTTTTTTGTACTAATATATTTTCCATTACTTCCACATCAGCATACAGATTTAATTGAGAAGAACTGGCAAGAACCTCAACTGACTTCCTTTTTTTAAAAAACCTGTTTATCTATATTGTGTATCTATGTCTAACATTGAATGGAAATCTCGTGCATATGTGCATTTTAGTGACAAAATTATGATTAAGCAGATGCTTTAAATTTATTTAAAGGTAATTTCAGTATAGGCAATAATATAAGCTATAGGCATATATAAACAGCACAACGAACATCACGTCCTCATACCCATTGCATCCATTACATTCGCTGCAATTCCCGAGAACTAAAGTGTCATAAATGTAGGTGGTTATTTATTTTCTAAACGCGTCCCATGTACACTTTGTTGTTCACGTACAGCAATTCGATTGCAAGGTGATGTTCGCCTATAACATTTATCAGCCATACGTGTGACTCCTGACGTGCCACTCACGTGTGGCCATTTCGTATGGCGACAGATAATATAATATTGTATGGCTAAGATGTTAATCCTCCGTATTGTACACTTTCATTGCCCACTAAACACTTGCCTATAAAGTCAGCTGTAGCGACTGGAATAGGTGAGGCAAATGTAAAGAATAGACGAGTTTGTACAACTGAATGATTGATGCGATGTTATGTCAGCTCGTATGGTTAATTATTAAGTATAAATATGAAATATTGTAATATTGAATAAATAAATAAATAACCCTGGACTCGAACCCACAATCATCGTCACTAAAGCGGCTAAATCGCTAGACCACCGAGGCCGTGAAATCCAGCCATCCATAATCGAATGTTCTTTTACGCTTAAATAGCTGTGGATAATAGTTTAGCGGGAAACACGAGTTACATTAAATAATCCACGATGCTCTTATTACTTATTATTAAAATCATACAAGATAAGAACATGTTTACCCTCTCACAAATATTTCACGAGTGTTTCTTGTACTGTCACCGAATTTCAAACCGTGTATATCCCATATGGTGACTCTTAACTCGTACTCTTCTACCTTGGGTAGCGATATGTCTACAGGTGGGGGAATTGGGAGATTGGTACCAAGTGGAAATATATCTACCCACATTTGAATATTACCCTGCAATAGAGATGCAGAGTATTGGCAAACTGTCTTAACTTTCTAGAAAGATCCATAACTGTATTGTGTATATTAGTATTGACTTAGGCGTAATAATGATATTTATTTATTTTGATAACCCGTACGTGTCACTCCTACTCTCCTCTCCGATCGATTCCCCGTCCAACTCAAATGGGGATCGATATTACGACGGCCTGAGCCGAAGTTAGAACCCCTAGCGGTGCCCTCAGACTGAAGTCCGTCCTCGAGCCTGGCCTTTAATTGGCCTTCAGCAGCTCTTCCGCGAATTGGGAGTGCCATCTGCACTCACCGCCTGTCGTCCGACTGTAAAGGCCAGTTGCGGCCAACAGCATTGGAGTAGTCCGAAAAAAAAACCCTAGTTTTTAGGCATCAACAGGCTATAGCAACAACTGTGATAAAGAAAAATGTGTAGATATATACAAAAAGAATATTTAAACTCTATATTTGTTACTATCCACTTGGTTTAATGTATGCATTATATATCTATACCTCTAATCTTAAACAAAGAGATTCAACTCAAATGACAACAATGGAAATCATATGTTCAGTTTATACATCAGAAATGTCAGAAAACACAATTTCCATTTCCATAGCGCGGAAGGAGACGCCTTTGAAAGGTATTCGACTACGATTTCAGAAAAAAACCTCATCTTAAAACAGCATTCTGATGGCTGAATGTTACGATAAGCGTAATATTAAAGTATTCTTTTGACCACAATAACTACAGTAATATTAATAATAATAATAGTAATCTCAGGACAATTCACACAGCGCCATCTAGATCCAAGTTATGCTAGCTAAAGCTTGTGTTATGGGTACTAGATAGCTGATACATATACATAGATATTTTTTTTTTGTAAATACATATATATTATTTATTTATTTATTTAATTCAGGCTACATGGCCCATATTATAAATACCTTATAGACTAACATACATAAGAAATAATAAAATTGTAGCTATGGTCACGGCACTGACGACGGCAATCTGCCACGGTAGCGCCGGTAGACCACCCCCTTCGGCCAGTAGTCCTCCTTCATGAAGGTGGGCAGCATATTGGTGGGGACCAGGGCCACGAACGCTTTGAAGCTCGCGTTGTGGCTCGATTCCAACTGCGTCACCCTCAATGTCAGGTTGCTTTTAGTCCGGATGTAGTCAACAATGTCCTGTTCCTTGGTAGCGTAGTGTAGGCGGGATAGGTACATTGCCGTGGTCGGTGTTGCGGCACGTAACAAGAAGTTGGGCCCTGTCAATGCTGTGCCACAATGGTTTCGATTGACCCTCTTTGTGCGCCTCTTCTTTTGTACCGTGACAAAACCATCATCGTCACGGTCAGCAGACTTTGTACACACAGGGGTCATTTTCAGAGTCGCTTTAGGCTCATTCCGCTGAGCAGTTGGTTTTTTAGCGGTGACGGTGGCAAAATCCTGGCGCTTTAATAGCACCGCGGACTTTGCTGGTGCTGCTTCCACTTGCAGCGGTGCGGGCGCTCGCGGTGTGCGGGCAGGGGGCGCGGGACGAGGAACGACGTCGGCTCTCGGCGTCACCGCATCGGTCGTAGGTGAAAACGCTGACTCGATAGTCGCGGCGGACTCATCGAGGCATGCTCCACGACGCGTGTTTACATTTCTAGCGTCATCAGATGACCTAGATAATTTTCGTGAATCACGCAAACTATCTACTTCTTTGCGCAACTCAATAATGGTTCCCTCGGACACGTTTAATCGTAGCGTCACATCGGCCAGGCTCTTTTTCAAGGAGACGATGTCCTTGAGCAGGCAAGTAACGTCGACGTGGTCGAAAGTGACGGGAGGAAGCTTGTTAATATCCTTCGCCACAAAAGTCGGCACGTCATCAGGATCGGTCACCTTCAGCAGCGCTATGATATCTTCTAGACTTTTATGAGTGCCGTCGCGTCTGCGAGACACCATCTGTTCGCTCTTGTTGAGAGACTCATAGAGCAGGACCTTCGCCTTCGCGATGTCGTCCTGGCTGAAGTTGGACGTACATATCTGTACTGCACTAATTTCATCCATTACGTCCAGTTTTTGCTGCAGGAACGCGAGGAGCTCGTTAACCACAAGTTTATCACACATGGCCTTAGCAAACTAGCACGGCTTGCGCCGCGCCGATTAATCCGTATATATTTAATTAAAATAATACGTGCACATCTGAACGCGCGTACTGTCAGATTATACATAGAAAACACCCAGACCGATACAAACAATCATACTCATGAATACAAATGTTTGTGCCGTGCGAGAATCGAACCCGCGACCAGAATAGATTACTAGCCGAGCCCACGACTCGTATTCCATATATTTGTTTGTTTGTATACCTATTGGAATAAAATAGACACAGCGTTTTGGTAAAACTCAAAATTATAATAAATACATTAACCATATTCAAATAAGTTACACCATTTATTATATTAGCGCATACAAACAAAGACAACTAGGCAACAGATCTAAAAATCATAGTTTTGTGTTTTCTTACATTGATAAGGTTCCTGTAATTAAATTATTTTCATATATCTTCTATGTAAAGACAGCGATTACTTACATTTTTTTAATTTACCTATATGTATAGAAGATATATACAAACCTGACCAACCCCTGGTTTATGGGGATTATAAAGAGTTCTAGTTTCTACATGTTTCGGCACTAAGTGATAACCACACAATGGCAAAGTATGCCATTGATGCAGCAGGCTTAAACAAATGTTTTCTTTAGTTTCAGACGATGACATGTAGCTTTTGGAACCTTCTGCAAATATCGATTTAGTGATACAATATGAATACATTAAATAAGAAATTCATAATTTATGTCTGGCATTGCAAAATGGGATACTCAACGTATAATACTATAATAGTTGTTTAAACGAAGGTTATTTGCTTTTTGCTGTGCATAGGAATTCAGAGCAATAGAGAGCGAGTACACGGCTATTCTCAGAATAATAGTAACTATGTGAAGATATTTAGTTAGTTATATTCAGTTATTAAGTTTCCATTGTAGTATATATTTTATCTACTATAATGGAAGCAAACATGTTGTATGCATATAAAATTAATATACCACATGCAATAATGATACATTTATTTATTAATCTGTGCTTATTTTCAACCGAAAACCAAGCTTCTCACTTCTCAAATAAAACAAAAATCATTATTATAATGACTGTACGTGTATGATTATTGTCTTTTATCGTAAAAAGTATATATAAAAGTTTGTAGAAGTTCGTAGGTATTAAAAAAACCAGAATGCTTACCTCGATCATTTCCTCTGTATTCTATACCGTTAACGATAACTGTGCCCTTTTCTGAATACACGGGCGATGCGAGATGATTTTTTAAACACAACTCTTCAAGAATTACAGATGGTTTCGATGAGTCACGCCATTTTGTTGCTCCCGTTCTGCTTGTAATATATATTAAACATATAGTATTACTTACTACTACAAATATCAACATAATATATGTATACTACTAAATAGTGAAAAATTTATGGCCTCGGTGATCTTGCACACCGCTTTATTTCCAATGGTTTTAGTTCACCGTTCATAATTAACCGCGTTAGTTCCTCGTACAATATCAACATTTATGTATCGGTCAAGGTTCTGGTATATTATGTGTGTATACAAAGATATATATATGTCTAATTATTTATACCAGTTGCTTAGTACTAATTATATAAGCTCTGTTTATTTTGAGACTAAACGAAACTGTGAATTTTAGTTATTAAAAGAAAATAGGTGTTTTTAAGTAAACCTTAACCATAATGAACTAAAAATTTACAAATATTAATAAAATCACGGGATCTCAGGGATAAAAATAATGAGTTCAATTTAAAAATATACATAACGTGTTATAATCGGGATTTCAGGGAAAAAAACAACCAGGCCAATTTGAAAATATTAATAAAATTAGTTTTAGAACTAATGTTAAATCGAATATATACTGTTTAGATTCTATTAATATTTCTTACAAACTGTATTTATGGGACAGACCAACACATGCTCTATGCTTTGTATAAACTCTGTCTTCTAAATCAATACAGGTACTTCCGATTAGTTCGTCAGGTTGTACTGATTCAAAGTCATACAGTGAAACATTCAAAACATAGTCTTCAGGTATAGTGCATCGGAATTCAAATATCCTAGGACAATAAGACATAAATATTTGACAAGAATGATTCATAAACTTAAGCGTAGATTATATTTATTTTTTATGGAATGGCAAATACCTTACCGGTCCAGCCAATGAAATGTAGCGATTATTCGGCCCATTATTATTTGGTAAGAAAATAAGGGCTCTTTTAAATTTTTAACCTCATTTTTAACAATTTCCATTAATAATTGTAAAGCTATTTACCTTCCAAAAACTGGATGAATTGTATTCGGTACGTATGAAGTACGATCACCCAGACGTTTTTTTCCGCAACGTAAAATAATATAAGGATTGCACTTGCCAGAGAAATCCTTTGCGAGGAGATCACTTCCTTTGACTATATAAACTCTAATCAAGTATTTAGTTGGATCGTTAATTGGATAGTCGTCGAAATATCTGGAAAAAATATTCAAGTTGGTCCTTTCAGTCGTAGAAGTTATATAAAACTAGGGCGTTTTAACTACCCAGAATTCGAAGGGGTGCATATTACTATAAACATACACATGTATACAGAACATCCATATGAACCCGAGCACAGCATTTATGTTTAATATAAATAAAAATTATATACGCACCCATATTTTAAATCTACTCCGTTTGAGCTTACAGCGATCGTATCTCCAGGAGGTGGCCATCTATATATAGCTATGCCAGCCTTCAGCATTCCACAATATAATTGCTCATCTTTTTCTGGTATTCCTGATTTCGTGCCATTATAGAATTTCAGAGTTGCACACCAGTCTCTAAATTTCGAGAATTCTGGTTGGAGTTCCAACTCCGAGGTATATATCTGATAACGTAATTTATATATATATATATTAATTTTAGCACGTTCAATTCGACTGATGTAGTGGACTGTCTGAATTCATTAGGGTAACTCCTTCTAACTTCTATACGACTTAAAAAAACTTTATACGTTAATTTATACTAAAAATGTTTTTTTTTCTTTTATATGACGTTCCATGAGCTCTTAAACTTAATGCATACGAATTCAGTTTGAGGGGATCCTAGAAGTTGGAAACTCAGATCAGTCTGTAATTTCCGGAATTTACCGGATAAGCCTATAAACCAGTTTTAGTCAGGATTTGGTCTTTAAACGTATCTTTAGTGTAATATAAATTATAGTTGCAGTTCTTCTATAAAATAAGAAGTGCATGCTAATCATGAATATTGATTGTAAAAGCGCAACGATGTAAATTAAAATTATCAAATAATAAATGGAGAATATTGGAAAGATATAAAGTACTAGTTCCTATGTCTAGCAGTGGACGTCTTCTGGGCTGCGATGATGATGATGATGATGATAAAGTACTCACATTAATTTTCTCTGTATTTATGTTGTCAGCCGTGTATTGGTCCTATGAAAACATTATAACTATATTATTAAAATTAAATATTCAGCAAATTTATCTATTTAATTAATTTGATTAATAATTTACTTGATCAGTACCATTGATAAATGTGGATACATAAATTAAATTATTGGGTGGAAGCGGCTTTTAGCAATGTGGACTAATGAACCCATTCTTGCCATATTAACATTTCGGGTTGACCTCCACGGGGTTTCCCCTGGAAACTGTCGTGACAAGTACCTGGTCAATTTTTCATAATAGGTTAACTGACATGACCTCATGCTCATCTTATCATACTGCATATATACACACAAAAAAAATATCTATAAGATTTGATTTTCACTAAAGGGCGATAGTTAGAATAAAGCGTGGTTACTGCCACCTACCGGTTAAAGAAAACATTACAACCAAGCGTTACGCTTTGTACGGTTCCGCACCAAGTTCCCATCGTGCAATGCTTAGGTGGCTTTAGCGAAAAGTTATCCTTATGTACTAACAGATGGCGCTTCATACAAATTTAAATACAATGAATGATTAAACTGCAGTCTGTTAATGTTTTTAAATTAACACTAACATTTCAAGTATTAAAATGCAGTCTTTAGTTCGTTCAGTATATTTAGATATGTTCTTTTCGTTATGACAAAACCTTATTAATGCTACTATCGATATAAGAAAATACGTAAACATTTTGTTTAGTTCAAGTGGGTTTATAAAGCTTTGCTTACCTTGATGAACTATGTTGTTGGCATTAACCACTAACAGATGGCGCTATTCTTAAAAAGTAAATATCAATAAGTAACTACTAGTACGTATGTAGCTTAATAATTACATAAAATACAGTTAAAATTGATAGCCAAAATACTTGTCTTCCACACACTTAGCTATGTATAATATGGGACACAAAGTTGTATATATGTATTGCTCGTGACTAGATGGCGCTGTGTGTATTATCCCGAGATTATTATATGAGTAACGTGAGTTACTTATGCCATCTATCGGTGCTAGAAAACATTAAGTGTAAGCATTTTGTGCAGTAACCTAGTGGTGTCTATATTGCCTACCTTGACGAACATTCTTCCCAGACTTAATTGTAAAGTTGACGTTAAGGAACAACAGATGGCACTGATAGTAAAAATATTAAAATCAATGGGTATTCAAATACTTGAATATTATAATTTGACACTAACATTCTGAGAGTTAAGATATCGTTGCCACCAATCCTTTTGATCGGCACATTTAGGTACTTTCTTCACTACACTTATTTGATCTTTTTCTTTCTGAAACATCGGCAATAACACATATTCCTCTTCGTCTGGCTCTTTTCTTGTAAATAACTTCCGCCACAGTGATGTCTTGACTACAGATTTTAAATCGTTTCTAGGAGTAGAGCTACTCCACATTTCTGCGCTTTCAGATGGGTTACAATTCATTTTGAATAGGGTATTCGTAGCTGTTGACATTTTTATACTTTCTAAGGAAATTTTAATTAAAAATCTAATATTTAGCTTTATGTAAATAAAATTGTCTTTCCTAATAATAAATAATAATCTGTTCAGATATATAACGGCTATGTAAGTTTTTTTACACAAAATAAGGGGGTTAAAAAGAAAAATTTGTACTTTGAATATGTGGTTAGGTACTCCATTTTTATTTTTAGGGATAAAATTGCCCATGTGCCAATTTTCATAGAAATATCTAAAATGTAAGTACCTAGTTGTATAACTGAATGAAATAATAATCAAATTTATCTTGCATCTAAAATCTATACTATTATATTTAAGGCCCTAAGAAGATATAAGTATGTAGCTAAAATCCCTTCTAGCTTAAAACTTCCTTTATAGTATTTTTTATAATGTATGTACCATGAAAGAAATTCGATGACATTATCGAAGCTGTTCTGATTGAGGTATCCCTTTCAGTCTTAGCTATCCAATTTACAATATATTTATTAGGTTTCTTCACAATGTTAGTACCCAGGGACAATGTTCTGCCAAAAGTACTACTATCATACAATCTGATATTCAAAGATGGGCAGTAGGCTTCATTAAGTGGTGCCCCAAATATCTGTGAGGTCCTCCCATTGGGAAAGTTGCAGTTGGATCTTTTATCGATAATAATATCCGATTTAATGATCAGTTCGTCAATTTCTAGAACCACACAAGGTTTTCTAGTAATAATGACGTCGCGTAGGCCCCACCAATAGACGTCAATCCTGTAACAATAATAAAAAATTAACCCTGTATACCACAGCGCCATCTGGTTCCACGGTAAACATAGCTTGTATTATGGGTACCATACAAATGATATGAAAAATAAATACTTAAGATATTTTTTTGTAAAAACATACCTACATAATATACTAAGAAAACATCCAGACCGATACAACCTGATATAATATTAGACTAATACTAATATTAGACTCTTTTTGTACATAGAGAACAACAAGAAAAACAATATGTAGGAAATTAAAAACAAAAGGCGGTCTTATGGCTATAAGCAACTGACAATCTAGAAAAGAGGAGTTAAGTATAGAGAAAAGGTAGGTGGCACACACAGGACACTATATATACTAAACGAATAATTATACCTACACGTACTTACACAATATACTTTGTAAAATAGGATATTCCTTACTTGTATGTAGTCGATTGTGGTATAAGATTAGCAGGCAATGTTTCCACTTCTTCGTCATCCATTTTAAGATCTTTCGTATCAGATTCGTAGGAGGACTCCTCAATGGGGCTGTAGACTGTAGTTTTCATTAGTCTCTCAGGTACCTAAAAATTAATCTTGTTTTATATAAAGTTTTAGCATAGAACTTCAATACATCTGTTAAAGAAAAAGATGGAATAATGGAACCTATGGACAAATAAGTATAAAATGTATAATGCAAAAGACTAAAAATATTTATCTATAATAAATAGTAAACTGTACAGGCTATTCAATTATAAATAATTACAATTCTAAATACTGATTCAAGAGTTGGTAAAGAAAATTAAAGCCTGTAATTATGGTAGAGGATATTTAAATCCAGCGAGCTTACCGCCTTTATAAGAAAATTTATTTTTATAGCGGTATTTATTTGTACCCGAGAGTTAATAATAATATTAGTTACCGTTTTTTTTCTGATCATTGATCAATTTCTGTCGATAAGTCGTGATATTAAACCACTAAGTAATCATTTTAAAATAGCATTTGTCACATAAAATAATTCAGACCATTCACTTTTTTAAATCGATTCAGCCATACCATATCAAAGTCGTATAAAGAAAACAAAGAAACACAATAACACAATAATAATCCTAGGCCATTCACACATCGCCGTCTAGTCCCAAGCTAAGCCGATTCTGTGTTATGGGTACTAGACCACTGATATAAATACTTAAATACGTTTCTTTGTAAATACATAACATTAGACCGATAAATCAACAATACAAATGATTGTACTGTGCTATTCGAACCTGCGACCATCGGATGTAAAGCGATGTGTTAAACCACCAGCCCACCGAAGCCATATATTATCTAGTTATAATTGTAGCATTACTGTGTCTTAATACACATTAACATTAAAAGCATTAATTAACAAATTATCGCCAACCGAATACTTAAATACATATTGTAGACAACCTATAGTAACTGAACTCAATACACGACCTGTAGTAACTGAACCGACATGAGCAATTGACCTGTAGATTCAACACCTTTGTGTAATGCATGCCATTGCAATTTTGGAGCGTATTCGTAGCTTTGTCTATCATCCAACACCGGAGTTACAGAGAATCGACCAATTAATTCCGCTTTCATCTGCAATTTAAAGGATATTTACGTCAATTGTAATTGATATGTGAATTGGAAAATCTGCTGCTGAAAATCCGGAGAATTATTGGCACTAGATTTTATGTATATATGTATATATATATCTACAGTATGATGCCGTATTAAAAAGTGCTGATGTATACAACTAGTAGAGTGTTGGTGACACATTACTGCTAATGTTATAAATTCGATAGTATGACTGACTGTCTGTCTGTTTCTCATCTTTTTAAAACTGAACGGATTTTAGTAAAATATGATATGGAAGTTGTTTTAATGGGGACGGATATTAAAACAATATCCTTATCAGAGTTTTCGACAAGCTTTTTTATTTCAAAAACCTTCTTGATCAAATTTCATGCACAATTCCATTAATATCTGTACATCCGATTATTCGTTAAATGGTAACAAATAGAAAGACAGACAAATATAAAGATATCTACACTTCCACGTGGATATATTACTAAAACGTTTAATGCAATAAAACAGTATACATTTATACATGTATATAATACATACATACATACATAAAACGATATAAAATCACATCTATTTAGTCATTCGATTTAAGGATTTGTATTAAATTTTCCAGACATAAATAATACATCTTATTACGAATTTTTAAATTATGCTATTCTATATAAAGATCGAAAGTAGGCTTTTACAAATCAGTCACATTTATAATTGATAATAATCCTTTGAGATTATACCAATTATTATCAGAGTTAATGAATTCTCGGAATGTATGACGATTTTTGGAAATATTTATTGTTAAATTCAATGGATAATTTTTTTAAGCCCTTAAGCTTGTATAATAAGATTGAATTAACGTTATTCTGAAAAGTATGTATTTTCCGCAAATCCACGCACATATCTCTTTATTTACTAAGAAACATTTATTCTTAATAGTCTACAATAATACTAGAAAGCAGTGGACGAGGCGTTATTTGGCCCCAAGCTAAGCAGAGCTTATGTTACGGATACTTTATATACGTCTATAAAAACATTTAAAGACATTTTTTGTAAAAATACAATTGTACGTAAACATGATTTTTTTTTATGAAAGGAATTAAATTATAGTCTATCGAAAGTATAGCGGTGTGCGAAACTGTTAGATCATCGAAGCTGCCGATATCAGTATTTATTTGCAAATCTTATTGATTTGACACAGTTTTTAATGAAAAATGCTAACTATATATTTCGTGACTTTTAAAAATAATACAATTACTTCAATATTTCACTCGCTGTTTATAAACTGCCATAAATTCCTAATAATTAAAACTCAGCGAAGATTTGTGGCAAGTGTAGAAGAAGCAAGAAAAAGTTCTATCGCCCCAGAACCGAAAAAAAGGTTTTAGATAAAGCTATTACCTTAATTTATTCAATTAATTTTTGCTGAAGTGATTTAGACCTTAGTGTATAAAATCCATAAAATTAGGAGGCTACTATTCCTATGTTATTATATATTTTTTATTGGCCAAAGGTAAACTAAATACTTCATGGTCGATTGGAACTATATTTTAAATTATATGACAATAAATGTTTACTTATTTATATTTCCCAATATTCCTTAGTAATACACATTAATTTAAAGGAAAACAAATTTAAGTTTATATATAGCTAATTAATCTACCATCCTACTGAAATTTAACAAAATACAAATAATTATGTCTAGGTCTAGTCATCGACTAACTACACCGTCGAATAGATTAAATGTACGAGAAATACGAGGTTGCTTGGCCACCTCTGTTCTTCCCTATGGAACATCATTCCAGTGCTTGTAGGTAATTTTTGGGCGCTCGTAATGCGAGTTGGTTATATTTTTACCTCTTATTACTTTACCTGCATATTCCATCTATGTAGCCTTCCGTGCTTCACATGTATCGTAGCCCATTATCCCAAATATAAAAATACTGTGATATATCGCTTTGTGATAATACCTTTCGTATATATATATATCTTATGAAGAATTTCTCCAACATGAGAATATAAGTAGTTTAACTCAAGTGGCATCCAGATAATTGCGTTACTAATAGCTACGTACGAAAACATTATACTTGTAACATTTTAATACTCTGTATGCTGTCTAATTGATGTGCCTGACGTAATATAAACCCCAGAAATGAACCTCAATTGCTTCGTCTACGTTGAAAGTAGGTTTTTGGTTTTTTGTTGTAGTTGCATAAACAGTTTGGAAGTATTTAGCAAACAATTGTGTTCCATTCTCATTAGAAAAGATTTTTCCATCTGACAATATCACTCGTCTTAAGTTACTTTTGATTCTGTTGTTGTAAAGTTGGAAATCCTGCTTGATGTTTAATTTCACGATTGCACCAAGCCTCATAAATTCTTGTCTATTACCATTTTTTATTATAAGCAAAGATGATTTGATCTTACTTAATCTAACAAATGAATTTATCATTTTAGCATAATTTGTAATGTCATATTATTTGTAAACGTATTTGTGTTACTAAGAATAAATATTATTTTACGAAACAATTATTTCTGGCAATTATTTACAAGTACATATTCGTATTTATTAATTTAAAAGTTTTGGTCCGAATATGTCCCTTTAATTAAAAGAAATAAAAAATGTGGAATTGTTCATTACAGGTTGTATTAATTATTATTACATTTAATTTTAGTTAAATTCTCATGAAGGTTGTGCGAATTGTTATAGAACGGACTGTTGATTGTTATTTAAATATTTTTTTCAGTTCATCGTTCAATCACTACCATTATAATATCAACTCTAGTTCATATCTAAGTAAAGACATTAGTATCATAAGAATGCAAATAAAATATGAAATAAAGTAGGTCTAGAGCTTGATGGTAATTACAGTAAGAAAATAACTAATAATCACCGTCATATCACTTTCGTACACTTCAACCAACACCAAAGGCGGATTCGTTACCAATCTGTCCTGCGTTGTAAATATCATCCGATGAATTTTCAATACCTGGTTCCATACTGGTGTAAGAGTCTTCTGTTTTATCTAAAAACATTGTTACTTAAGATTAAATAATTTAATAAACATAATGTTTAACTAATACGTACTATAAAGTAATGCTATATACTGACGAAGTAGCTAACAGATTTTGATTCGTCAATCATCAATTCATCAATCAACAGGCTGATTTATGAGAAGGATTTGGGTTTGGGGTAAGGTTCTGTATAAATTGATCTGCGGCTAATTATATTATCAATAGTAAATATTCAATTTACAGGTTTATCCGTTATATCTATCCATGACTGGATGCTGTAACTCGTCTGCTCTCATCGTTATGATTGATTTATTTCCTTACTCAAGTAACTATATCTTTAATATTTTGCTCATGCAAACTAGTGATATTTACTAGTTTGTATTCATACATTTTCTTATAACCTCTAATTCAACAAAGTTTCAGTTTTGTTTCTTTATGTGCATTTCCAATGAACGGTAGATAAAAAGAGAATTTATAGTTCCTATATTAAGTTCTGTATTAAAATTATTTCTATTTCTATTTCTTACATGCTATACTATACTATAAGATTACACTACTTTTCCTTTCGATTCATAGAATTCTTTTTTAGTTTCCTTAAATGTTTTGTTATTTGAATGAATAACAATATCTGCTTAGTATGGAGTTAGTTTACCATTTGTATAACGAATACCTTTATTTAGTAAAAGTAAAAGAATAACTTACTGTGCTTTCCTTTACTGTATTCATTGCATTAATTCTGACAAAAGTGTATCCTAGATTTGTGGCTTCAGTGGAGCTGGTAAATTTAGCACGGTAAATAAATACGCGACATTCTATCATCTGAAATATAATGCTATGCAGTAATATGTGTTTATATGTAATTGCAATAAATATATACATAATCAGAGCCCTTTAGATTTTTATATATATTTCATTAGATTATAATTAATACTGTGAATTAAGTATTGTTTCATGTAGATTTCATTGGAATTATAGATATTTTATGGATTATAAAGGTGAAACAAAGAATGATTAAGTAAAAAAACATTACGCTTAAGAAATTTGTTAAAAAGCCATCCTTGGAAATATATATTTACCAGGAAATTAGACTTGAGGCACATTTCATAGTTTCTAGTTTTGATTTTATAACCATGGGGAAAATAGGTTCCCAGAGCTGAGTTTTGTCTATACAGACCCATCCAAAGAATAAGTTCAATCTTTCCAGCGATGCAATAACAACCAGAAGCTAACGTGTTTAAATGTTTTGGGCATTTTAAAGGCTGTAAAAAAATAGGAAGGAAATAAATCATTTTATTAATCTAAGCGAACTAGGCGTTGAAGAATATCATCTGCTTGGGAACCGCTGTCTAATTTCTGTTCTAAAAAATAGAACTATGTTACTACGTTACTTTGTATTCTATTTTGAAGGGTGAGATATGGTAGTGAAATTGCAGGATTAGGTGACACAACATCTTTTTTATCATGAATGGCAATGCACGAGAATATATAGTTCACCATCAGAATCTAATTGCATAAAAAAATAAGATACATTAAATAGTGTGATACCTTCATGAACACAGTTTGTATTCGTCCGCAATTTCGTCCATTTTGTTCGGGTATTACTGAATATATAATGTTGGCAGGAGAAATTTTCGTGTAGGCTACTCTTGATCCACCATTCAAAATCCATATCACTATATCAGGCCAACCCTCAGGTGTCTAGTGACAAATATTTTAATTGACTTCTATATAGTCATTATTTTTACATATAAATAATTGCCAAATCGTGGCAAAGCGAAAACTATATTTATCTGTTGATTCTGTTCAGCCAAAAATATCACCCTCAAATAATTTTAATAATTTCAATACACAATGAGCTATTGCCTTAATTAGTTTATGAATAAAATATTGAAAGCATTTCTTTTTCTTCTTTTGTTGAAATATCATCAATAGATGGCGTCTATTAATGTACTGGAGTACATTATTACACCGAGTCTAGATAGCTGGTAAAAATAAACAAATGCGATATGATACTAAATTTCCTTCCAGTCTGTCTAGTTTGTATATTTGTAGTAGTAAATTTCCTCTCATAGTGTTAATTGAAGTTAATTAGGTTAAATAGAGTAAAACTCTTCAATTATTCCACGAACTCTGTCTACAGAAAACTAATTTAAAACTTTTATAATTACGAGCATAAAATCACGTTTACCTTGTAAATAAGTTCCTTCAAGCTGCTTGCCAGTGATTTCGTTTCAGCCAAAAGTATTTTAACGTTTTTTCTAGAGCCTGGAAGGCTTTCATTCGTACATTTACTCGCAGATTGATTGATATTTAAAATTGAATTTCTCTTGGCCTTTTTAGTTATTTGTTGATAAATATTTTCCTGGGAAACGTACACGAGCATCTCAGCAGTTATTTCATGAAATAATATTTATCAAAACCAATACTTACACATTAGAAATGTTCATCGAATAAGCGCTTTTAAGGAAATGTTGGGAGATTACTATGTAAGCCATTTCTCATGTAATCAAATATTTATTTTATTGCAAATTTTAAAAATTTATGATAAGGTTTTTACAGAAATGGCATGCTATTAATGGTAATATTACAGAAGTAACTTACCCGAGCAACTTCACTACCGTAATACTTATTTGAAGTTTATCATTATATTTCGCCAAATATCTATATATCTTTTTAAACTATGATCTATCTGTTATTCTGATATGTAAGCTATGTATATCATCTCTATGTTACTGATGTAACGTCCGTTAAGTAGTTTTTGTGTGAAAAAGTAACAAACAACCATTCATCCATACTCATAAACTTCACATTTATAATATTAGATATAACATTTGCAATATCAACAATTGATAGCAGCATTTCTGACAATCCTTCTAGTACATATTATTATATTATTATTACTATTTCTTCCTTTTGGAGTCTCAATTGCTTCTGATCCAACTCTGTGATGCACTGGGGTACCATGTCATCACTATTGTTATTTGAGCTAGAGTACCGGATAATATCTAAAAATTTGAGAATGTTGCGTGAAGTATCATCAATGGCTTTGTTGAGATCATCCAACAATTCATTTGGAGTGGTGTATTCGTAATTCTTTAAACGACGTTCAATATCTTCTAATATTAATTCCTTAAACAAATTAAGATGTATTTTATTATATTTATGTAGAAATCATAAATTTCTAGTCATATACTAATGGTCATCATCGACATCGTATGTTATTTCATTATTACATAGTATAAAACAAAGTCGCTGTCAGTGTGTGTCCCTATGTATGCTTTAATTTTAAAAACGATTTGAAGCGGTTTTTTTAATAGATAGAGTTATTCTAAAGAAAGGTTTCTATACATAATACATATAAACCCGGGCAAAGCCGGGGCGGATAGCTAGTTTTTAATAAAAGGTAGTCTTTGTCAGTGCTTGTTATACGACAAATTCAGACAGACAAACTTTACGCATTTATAATACCATGGATTACTATAAATATAACTATAATGTACATACTTGGATTACTTACACAACGCCATCTAGTTCCTACCAAAGGAGAGCTTGTGTTAATTGAACTAGATAACTGATATGGATACATTCATATCTTGTCTTTTTAAATTTTAAGAAAAGCCTGGACCGATACAATCTATCAAACTATTTGTACCATGAAGCGAACCAATGGTGGCCCATTGGACAAAAGATAATGGATTGATAATGGACTGCTGAGGTCGTCAAATAAAAAATGTGAATATTTTTAATATAATACAGTACTAGTTTATAAATTGAGTATACTCACCAAATCAGCAACGATCCTGTAAATCATATTATTTGTATACATCCTAAATCTAAAGTCCGGTAATCTAGTAGCCAGTTGCAATACTGGGAAGGCATTTGGGAAGTCCAAGTAGCCATATGCTGGCCGAGTTTTCGTCACTTCAAGTGGACCCGTATAGTGAAGTTTTCGTAACTCTAATCAATAGGTAATATGTAAATATTTTTTTTAAATTGCTAAATATTACTTAAATGGAGATGTTATAAATTTATAAGTATTATTGTTATACACAAATGTTTTATCCGCCTAACAGCCTGCTTTGTAATCTGTGTTTTGATTGTAGGATGAAATAAGGCAATGAAATTACATGATAAGAAAACTATATCTTCGTACCTACTGCGTCGTTCCGCATACTGTGAGTGGTATATTACAGGGACTTCAAACTTATGTAAAATAAGTTGTTTTTTGATGTATATAGGCGAAGGTTACAACTTACCATCAGGTGACCGTGGACTTGTTTACCATTATCTTAAAATATAGTAGTTTATTTTTATAGACACGTATTATTTTTACATCTACCCTATAGTAGGATGAATATTAATTATATGCTCCACCATCTAACCGTTGTCTACAAATTAATTGGCTCTTAATGAGATTTTTTTAATTCAGACATTTTCCTAACTTTTAACTACCTATTATGCCACATCAATATTTATATTCAATTCCTAATATGTAATACACATTACATCTGCAGAAATGTAACTAATTGCTCTGCCAAATTGTTTGTATAAAACTCGCTCACCAAATTTGCTAAAGCGACAACACTTTTTGTTCTACCCGAAGTTAGGAATTAAATGATTGTGTAATAGCTGGATTTGCTAAAACACGTTAAATTATCACACATTTCAATCCTGTGGTAAAGTTTAATATGTTTCCAACACCTGCACAAACTAACGAGGCAACTTTAGGTTTAGCTAACGTCGTAACATAGTGTGCACTTCACGATTATTATTAATTATGGAATTCGTACTCACTAATTTCATTTCGGTTTACTTAACGTCGTATCGTTGTGTGATTCATGAATAATATTAAGTACGTCGTAACATAGTATGCACTTTATGATTAATATTAATTATGTTCTAATATTATATTAAGTATGAGATTCGTACTCACTAATTTCATTCATCATCGCCGCGAACTCTGTAACAAGTTATATTATTCAAGTTACGATATTCTCAAAAATATTTTCGTATCTGACGCCTCCACATAACTTGTAAAATTCCATATTTATTGGAAGAAGACCACAACGAAACTCGTGTCAAATCATCCAATCTTGTTATAACTTAAATGGGGTGTACTAGGAAAAAGCCACTGATAAGTTAATAGCTTTTAACAACTTAATTTACATGGAATCACAAAATGTGATAATTCCAAAGAGTAAAAATTGTGAATAATGTTTATTTTCTTATACAAATAGTCGTACAAAAATACTAATAAGTACTAATTTAGTAGTTGATTCTAAGTAAAATTTGTGAATAATGTTTATTTTCTTATACAAATAGTCGTACGAAAATACTAATAACTACTAATTTAGTAGTTGTGTCTACATTCTTAAATAGCGAGAATCTTATATTATTCTTTTAGAGGTTAGATTTTTTTGTAAAATCAATAGCAGTAAAAAGTACTGTAATCATTAGCAGTACTAAATGCTATCACATGATAAGTTCCCGAACCACAAACGTAAGTCTTATAGAAGTTTCTTTCTATATATATATATGTATATACATACTGTTTATTTGTCTATAACACTATAGTCTTATATAAAAAACTACAAATGGTATTGATTAGAAATTTAGAATAAATTTTAACTAATTGTTTCACTGTTTAAAAATATTTGTACGAAGTGATTAAAGTAAATTTGATAAAATATTAAGAGATCTATGTATATATTTGTTAAGTGCAGTCACGCGTTCAAAATTCTATTTTTTTTCAAATACTCATAATTCTTATATCTGTAAAATATCTTCATAAATACGTTACAGTACCTTCATCAGATCTATTGTCTGTATTGATGTCACCCATTGTAATGGCAACTCCACAAAATTTCCCAGCTATCCTCCGATCCAGCATGGACGCTTCCAGTATGGGGCAATATATGCAAAAGTCTTCAACAGACCATAAATTCTCCTATGAATTCAAATGTTTTGTTTTATTACTAACAGTTGTTGATTACTAAAAGCACGTATTGCGGATAAAAATATTCGTTCCAGCAATATTCGTAGACGGTTTCAGGTTGCGATAATAATACACAATACCAATTAATATGATCTGGTACTACATTTATTTGTAAGTTTTCAATTAAATAACAATAATGTCAGTACTTATGTGAGTACTCATACCAATTTCTTGACCATAATTCAAATATAACACAAATTATCCTGTTTTATATTCATATATCAGTAATCAAATTTGTAAGTAATTTATTAACTCCATAGATATTGACATAAATATCAAAAATAAATAAACAAAGAAATAATTCAAGAACCAGAAAAAAACATATTTTATCCAAGAACAATCCACAATTCAAACAAATGTATCATACATGAATTTTATTATATACACTATATATATTTATTATACATTGTTACCTAGACTTACCGGTTTTATTGGAGTAACTGGTTCAATATTAGTAGTCCTGACACCTTGTTGATAAAACGGCACTACAGTTTTCAGGGAAACTAATAGTGCACCTCTGTGATACGGTCCATCCTCACCAGTGGATACTAAAGTACCAGCGCAGGAACTGCCATACATGTGCAGCAATGATGGCCCGAAGGTTGGGAGAAAACCTGTGTTAATTGACATCATGATCTGAATGGATATAGAAATTCGTAATTTCTATATCAATCATAGGCAGACTGTAAAATTGACTGTTAAACGTCGTTTGTCTGGACATAAGTCTAACTTATTGCAGCTACCAAACAGCTTGCTTTGTAGGCTATATTACGGCAATAGAGTGGAACTTGACAGTGAAATTACTAGATAAGAGGCACATCATCTTATACGGTTGTATGGTGCAATTTGGTAGGGAAATTGATAGACAAGAAGCATTACCTCTACTCCCCTAAAATAGCAATCAGCATGAGGAGTACCACGGATGTCACATAACATGGTATCATGCTTACCAACAGAAGGACCGTCAGTTTGTTTGCCACTTCAATTACAAAACGCTACTTCAAAAGACAACTAAACGATCTTTCAGAAATCGTATAGAAATTGAAAATACGGACAGGACAATAAATAATAAACAGGAAAATAGTTACTATCGATATATAAGTTTCATATTCATATTCCTATAACAACTCGACATCGAACGGTAATGGTCAACCGTTTCGTCGGTTTTCTACTAGTTTTATGAGGAGTTTTTCCTACTCTTGCACAGATGTACATATGGATTGTTGCCATGCAATATTAAGGTATCTCTAAATTACTCCTTAAGATTTTAAGTGAATAATAAAATTTTGTTATTTACCATTGTCTCTATCATGAGAGATCAGTCCAAAATTTAAATGTGTACTTGCCAGCACTCTATTAAAACAACCATCAATGGAACAAACATCTAGCCGGATCATTTGACTCATGTTCGGGAACATTTCGACGATTGAAACCTGCTCGTTGTACATTGGATTATTATTTCGGTGCTGTACTGCTGTCTTCACCTGGGCCAATAAGTGGATTATTATTAGAACAATATATAAAATGATTATTAAGTAATAATAATAATAATTGTAAATGGTCAATTTAAGAACTAAATAACATACATTACCCTTTATGTACGTATAATAACATTCGTTATAAAGTTATTACTTGCCTTTACTTGTACATCAGTACTTTCTTTTCTCTTTGTTGTAATAAACATTTAATTTCTATATTTATATATATCTAATATCATGTGTAAACCGTGATTCACCTTGGCCTCTACATTGTATCCGGTTACAAAGGCGACATAGTTTCCGATTATCCCTATTCTATTTATAAGTCGACTTTCATTTTTCTACCAGTAGCGTTACTAAAGATTTTCTAAATATGAGTATATAAAAATTGGTACTCTCTATACTTATTATGGGTATATTTTTGCGACTCCCATGTACAGGAAGATACCCGCGTTTTATTTATTTTGTACAAATAAATAGAGAATCTTAATAATTTTCATACAACATAAACGTTATTTACAATCAGGACTAAAAGGTAGGTACTATTAATGATACGGATAAACTTACATTCTGCGCCAAAAGTAACGCGACTCATAATTACAGGACCACTGACTTAACGAGCTACTTATTCATCAACAGGTGTAGATTACAATTTGACTCACAACAAGCCCACAAAAAGAGACCCGTACAAACGTACTGGGAAGTTTGCCGAATCTTCTATCCCCATGACAATGGGTGCCGGTTGGAAGTGAGAACGCGCCATATACGACCACAATGTAATTGGCACGTTGTTGTTCAGATCCAGATGGTACCAGTAAATTGCTGGGGAAGAAACAATATATTGTTTGTCTTAACCAAATATGTAAAAAGAACGTTTTTTACATATTTGGCCAGAAACCAGTCAAGGGAAACTAAATGTCTCAGGCGTCCACAGGCTACGGTAATCATTTACCCTCAGGTAGGCCATATGCTTATTTGCCACCGTAGGAGGACAAAAAATCTCTTTTCTCTGGTTAGTATACTCAACGTTAGTTGTTTAGTTCGTCTTGAATTAACTTGGTTGATTAAATAATCGGAGAATTAGGAGAAATTAAATACAATATATACAATTTTTTACTACGTTTGGAGATTGCTCATTCACAATAACTGGGCAATGTCTCTCTATTCAGGGTTATCCATTATATTAAAACTAGCTGACCCGACATATACCGTGTTGCCATACAATTTCTGTATAGGGTTAGCCTCATGTGGTCACTTTTACGCCACCTAGACATATAAAAATAGTCTATGACCTTTTGTCATACCATAGTAAGTATGAGAAAAGGCCATTATTCAAAAATAGTCATTTTTACATACTGTATATATTTAATCTTACCTTTCGACAGTTTCTTCGTTTACTATTGCGGGTGTCACATGCAAAATATCTCCTTTAAATATTATAGAGACATCTACTTTAAGAAATCCAACTGGACCCGCAGCTGGATTGCGAGGTAGACTAAGCTGTACCCATTTATGAAATATTTGATGATCTGTTATTTAAATAAATTATTAGCTTCTTATTAGGTATATCTACCTAAGTTATGTAATTTTTAATTAAAATGAGAAATTTATAAGTTATTTAAATAATTACAAAAAAGTCTATCGTTACAAAAGAATGAATTCAGAATTAATTATTTCCAGTACTACGTATTCTTTGTCGTTATAGTAGGTACTAAGCCTGAACATGATTAGAGCCTGACGAAACTCTATAAGCAAATTTAAGCAAGAGAATAATTGCAAATACCTTTTGTACTGTTTAAGTTAATTATGTGTTTAAACTTGTTCACGCTTGTATACAATGTTATACGTTATATAAACAAGATATTTATTACGTTTGTAGTATTTAAGAGCTGCCAATATTTCAATGCAGTTTCTAAGTTCATGTATAAAGGTCAACTAGGTAATATAAGAATTTCTTAAATAATATTATAAAGATCAACAGTCCGTTTATAAAATGTGCTGTACATTATGTGTATGTGTCTGTAACTATGTGTATATCATACATACGGGGTTGTACCCATATAGCTCCCAAATCGATATTGGTTTCTCCTAGCAACCGCGCTGAAGCACAGCAACGAGGTTCCATCACCGCCATCCATATACTAGATCTCTGAACATCTCGTATACTCGCGTACATTTCGAATATGAAATACTGTAAAAATATTGGTATTAAGCCGTTGTTGAAGTATTCACTGTATTGTTACACTGTACTGTATATATTACAGTTTTTAGGACAAAGACGCTTGTGTAATTAAAATCAGGAATTTCACTGGCATAACTTCTCAGGCTAAATTAATGAATCAAATCTTCAAACAGACCACATACAACTTTCCTTACATATCGCCTTTGACATATTGACTAGGTCACTTTTGACGATTTGCTTTATATTGAGCACTATGCCAATCTATTAAGATGGATGAACCATGCAAGGCCATGCCATACAAGCAGCACGACCTTCCATGGTCTACCCACCTTATATACTGAATTTGGATTTATATGTGAATTTTAAACAAGAAACTTCAAAATAATAACTGAATTTCATTTGTAAATGGATTCTGTTAAAATTTTATTTACTCCTACCTATTTTTTATGAGCAATGTGTAATCATAAAAAATAATAATACCGAAATAGTTATTCAATGTTACAAAGACATCGTCAATACCCGACTTTACTTTTCAAATAGAATACAGAATACAATGGAATTGCTTGTCGTTAGATAAATCTAAGTCTCTCTCTATATTTATTTTACACTTTTATTTTTCACTAGCCAACGCCTTGCAGCGCAGAATATTGCAATATAACAGAATTGTTATTTCAAATCTATTTCCCAGTACTACAAGCGGTCTGTATAGGTATCTAGTATATACTAAGTATATATGTATGTATATGCTATATATATATAACATATAACAATATTTATAACACATAACAGTTTGGCAGGACATAAAATATAGATAAAAAAACAAAATACTACATTATAACTATGACTCAGTAAACAGATTCATAAGTTACTTCTCTATAATATGGTTCGTCCATGTTTCTTCTTGTACTAGTTCTGTGCTTTTTCTTGCCAAGAACGACTACTACGTAAGAACTAGCCGAATGAGAGTTACTCCATGCCAGCTTTCGAGCCTCTAGCACGTTTATTGAGATCTGTAAGTTATATAGGTAAATATTATAACCTATGAAAAACAGTATTAATAAATCCAACGGATACTAAAGATTGTATTAAAAAAGTAAAGTAACAATACAAAGCATAAATAATAACAAAGTTCATTCACTTTCGTACAATATTAAATATATCAATGAGACATAGGTATACGCTGACCGTCCTTCTGTTGGTATGGACTATGTTATTGTATAGATTCTATTGAGGACTAAGGTGACATGTTTTAGTAATAAATTTCACTGCCAAATCCCACTCTTAAAACCTATTTGTTTGGCGGTAGGAACTGGTAATACACTAGATCAGTGTTTCCCAACGTGGGGCCCACGCCCTACAGGGGGACAATTTGATAATGGACGCGACACGAGTTTAACCCTTTCGCTCCGGGCTATTTAAATGCATCGAGCATTGCATTTAAATAATTCGATGTCACTTTTAATGAAAAAGGCATATTTTTAAGTAATTGCGGTTTACCGTTATTTATAACTGTTAGGTAGAATTACAGTATTTCATTATGTTTTACTGTGTTTCCTAAAAACAATTTCCCAGTGATTTTTGCTTAAAACTTACCATTAATATTTTTTAAGTCAACAATTGAATTTTAAAATTAGAAATTATATGCAGGTACTACATAGGGGTAAAAGTATTTAATGAAACCTAAGGTATAGCATAAAAAATGTTAGAGAACACTGCACTAGACCCACGCATATTACTTTCTATGCCATATACATCGACAAAACCGATGATAATAATTGACAAACGTGGTGTGGATTCCTTCTTAAGTGTTCGCAAATACTAACACTCAAGTACAGATTATTATGAAAGTTACCGTAACAATCGTATTATTCAAGTTAAATTGCAGAAATTGAAACAAGAAGCTACAGTACGCCCTTAACGTTCGTGATCCTACTGAACCGACTATAACGAACCTGCTTGGTTGAAGTTCGATTCTGATTCCGATAGAACAGCATCTTACGTGCTGCGGTCACATGAACTCGTCTAACGATTGTCGAAGCTCTTCACTATATACGTTCGGCAACGTACAATGTAACTTTAAATTGTTTAGTAGTGGAACGAGGATTAAGTTAGTTTTAGTCTAATATAAGATTTTAGAAACATATATTCTCATCTATTATTTGTTCATAACAAAGTTTTATATCAGATAGTATGTAAACTTATTTACTAATTATCATCAAACGACAGACAAAATTATTCTATATCACATTTTTAATAATTTATAAATTGCCAAGTTCAGCTTATCAGATTAAATCAGGGGTGTATATCGTTAAATATTTGTTTCATTAATTTTCTCGTTTGCTATATAATGTAAATTATAATGATAATATAATTACATAGAATTGAAAATACATATGTTGCCTTTCTTTCAGCATAAATAATGTTGCCTGATGCTATTCTTTTTAATTTTATGGTTAATCATGTGTTGAATTGCATTGTTGAAGAAATCGCATAGGAAATACACTTTACTATATATACATAATAATATATAGATACTATATTATTAGTGGGTGATAATGGTACCTATGATCGCCTGCCCTACGGCATATGCCGGCGGGGCACTAGTGGAGATTGATAATAATAATAATATTAAAGTCTGGTCGGTTAGCCCGTTGCTTCGAATGGTTTCCATAGGGACCATGTGGACTGGTAATGTTCACTCTTAGGGAGAGGGCCATTCCCATTACTAGCAATGTACCATGCAAGCGTTGTATACGTTTGCTGGTTGTTAAAATATATAAGACATCGGATACCCATCTGATTGTCCGCTTCCAATTGCAAGCCGTCCTTTATATGCTATCTAGATCTAGATATTATACCTGATGTTTACATGTTACAAATGAATGTTACGACTTAGAAAATAGAACTCAAAATGCTATGAAATCATCACAGACAGAGAGTGACCAAACCAGCATTGTATGATAAAAACCTTGTGCCAATAAGGGATGCTTATATAAATTATTCATTTTAGCGGGTTCAACTGTCTTCTTATAGCAGAAATTTACCATTGTACATACTTGGAAGCAATTGAGGTCATTGCCCTCTCAGAAACCATGGATGGCTTGAAGTCAATTCGGATACAAAAACTATATATACTTCAAAAGAACCAACCAACAAATTCAACATAATTGGTTCAGAATTCGACGGTACTTTTTTTACCGTATACGTGCGAGTAGTACACGAAATAAAAATTGAAATGAATAACATATTTCTGAACGCGAATTGTAAAATGTAGGTATTATGTTATTATTTTCATATTTTCTAATAGCTTATGACTTTCGCCTTTGTATGTATACTACATTATTAGAATATAGTGAAGGCGTCGTTAGTTCGATTCTCACACGATACTCACACGATTCTCACACGGTACAACAACTTGTACTAAAGAGTATTAGTTTAGTCTGTTTGACGGGACTTATTTATGTATTTTACGTATGTTACGTAAATTGTTATTTTTTTTAATATAATAAGTTCTTTAATATCCGTAATACAAGTTTTGCTTAGTTGCAAGTTAACAAGAAGGTGCTAAATTGTCATAGCATATGACCGGTAGTGCAACATAGTCGAAGGTTCATAAGTTCTCTTTTTCTCCTCAAACTCATTTAGGGCCATGGGCCATACATGTAGGGCCTTTCGGCCTCCTATGCATGTCATGCATGTTTTTATTATTGTCCTTAGCGACTAGTCGCTATTATGAAATGTAACATACATATTTAGAAAAATACAATCTACATACACATATACCTGAAAATACTGAGCTGTTGCTTCTTCATTTTGTATATTCTCTACACGAACCGCCTGTTTCTGCCTTCTACTCGGTGATCTACGCATTATTTTTATATATTTAATTAAAATTAGATGATATGTATTATAAAAATAACTATGCGAGCACGATTACACAGTTTTAATATGTCATTATTTAATGACATCTATTTCTGGTCTCAAAATTTTATTGTTGTAGTAATGTTCTTCGGCAATAATAAGACCTTTTTGACATACATACTCCATTGTACAGCAGTGGATATACTTTATAATATTTATTTAAGTACTATATATAGACGTAATATCAACGGAAGCTTTGTTGGGCCTATGTTTTCACTATAGATCCTTCATATGGGTGTCTACCATCGTAGATTTGCATATTTTATTTTAGTAGATTGATAATCAAGCTGATAGAAAAGAGTAAACATCTCATATATATATATATATACATATAGCACATAATGAATATCGAGCCACTCACCCATCAGATGGAAAATATCGCACCGGCTATATACCTAGGTACATACGCAGTACATGAACAGAATAGCGGAATATCGGAATCGTCTTCTTCAATTGGTTTTATGTGTAGTAAATACTACGTATATATAAATGTACACGTGGATTATAGTAAGTGACAATTACTATAGTTTACTTAAAATTCGCGACCAAACTAAGAGACATTTAATAGTACTATTTTATAGGGTCTTAGGTCAAATCAATACCCAAACTTTTTCCTTCTCTAGTATAATTAGCATAAACCAACGATAGAGATCAATGATTTATTGAGACGGTTGCAACAGTAGCGGTCAAAATCGCTCTTGTTAAAATATCTCGGTCAGATTTACGATTTATCGATGATATTTTAATGAACCCACGATACAGGGTAATGCAATAAAACTATGACATCGTGTGAGACTTTATGTTTCACCGGCTTTGGTCATGTTCCATTTATATCTTCGTTTCTATGTATGAATGAGAATTTTATCTTAGTGATTAGTATTATAGATTATAAAATAATAAGATATACCTATATCTAATTAAGCTTGTCTAATAATCAATCAAAAGTGTTACCAGACGTATGTAGATTTTTGGTAAGAGACAAGTACATAGCCGTCGCATACATTTTGATCTACGGAAATGTATGAGTAAATTTTCGAAGTAAGATTTGTATTATATTTTTTTTTTGTACTTGATACATCCCCTTCTATCATTCCCCTTCATCCTTAAATATTACAACGGTAGAGATGTGCGATATTTTTACTTTGTCGAGTGTGGTAAAAAGTTTAAAGTTGGCAACCGTATTAATGATACAAATTGACAGGGTTACCAACCTTAACTATATAACATAGTACTTTTCTAATGTTCAAACTGAATCTGAATCGAATTTAATCTAAAGATTGAGTCTGTACTAATTTTTAAATTGATAGATTGTATTGACCATCTTACAAATTTATTCTAGTCAGTTATACCTAGGGCGATATACATGCATCTTTGTCAAACTTTTATTAATTCCGTATGATATAATGACTTGCATTGTTAAGTAAAAGCCTTCATATACTCCTTTCTATTATCAATCTATATGCATTTTATAATTATTTTCCTAATTCGCCAAACTCATCGTCGTCTTTTTTTATAGCAAAAATCCTGGTTGTTTTATGAGAGTTTAAATGAAAAGCCAGAGATTATATAATCACAATATATTAAATCATTTCATTGTATAAACATGTACTATACAACTAATCTATATACTAAATACATGGACATATAAACCTCTGAACTCCGCGTAACAAAGTAAAGGCTGAGACACACCTCACGAACAAGACACGAATTGCCTCGTGATTTTATTTTAATTTTGTATTTTTTTACGACTCTGGATTTATTCATAGTGTTGCCAACATGCTTATTACAAAGGAATTTATAGGTGCTTCAATTTGTAATAAACTTTGAGTTCCGAGGTTTTGACGCCCTTCCTAAAAACTAGCTTAAAATAACAGGTGTTTTCTTTATATTACATTTGTTATACTAATTTATTTTTTTACCTATTTATTACAAAATAACATATCAAAATGTTTACATTGTAAATTATTAACTGGGTGCTAAAAAGCAGGATTGCGTCTACCGCATTGTATATTTCATATGTATATTTATATAATATATATATTTATTTAATATATATCCTGTCCTAATAAAATCTCTTAACGTGAAATGTAAAATGTAACAGAAGCAAAAAAATTGAACTAGATTTAGTAAAAGTTTCATCTATATATATATGTAGCTTTTTTCAACGATAGACTTACCTACGATCCTGTTTCTATTCAACATTTTTTTAATACGTTTGCGATTATTGAAACAAGATATTATTATTTCATAAATAATTATTCTCATTATTGGCTCTCATATTGTTTCTTCTAGAGTTAATATGTAGTCAGATGTAGTATTTAAATATATTATATATAGATATATAAAATGTTCGTTAGTCTAGTAAAAATTAATTTTAATCACTTTTATTCTTTTCGTGTAGGGTTCGGTTAGGGTTAAAAATCAATAAATAATTAATTGGCAATTTTGTATGCAATTGCTAATTAGGGTTTCTTTGAATAGAAAGCGCCCGTAGTGGAAAAATTGCCCCTTTTTATTACAGATTATGTTTGTAAATTTGTTACGAAGTTCACTGTTTTACATATAATAACAATGAGATATAAGAAACACTCTGGAATGACTATCACATACAGACCCAATACATAATGTAGCCAAAAACTATGATTGTTAGAATATTTGTCTTTTTGGTTCAACCGAACTGGTTGCGATTTTCCCTAACATCTTGAAGTGTGCATCTTCCACATAACATAACATTTTGTATGTTTTATTCCAATCGATTTTCAACAACAAAGTTATAAAAAAAATTGTTGTTATGACCACAGATAACAACAGTGTCATTATATATAATGTATACTTAATACGTGACACATATAGGGTATGAGGTGCACAGGGTCATCTATTAATAAATAAAAATGGGTTACAAATAAATATAACATATCCAGGGTTATTTATTATTTATTTAATGAATACGAGTAGATACGAGTATATAATAATATTATGACTAGCAATAAGCACGAGATGAAATTCTTGTCTTTATTGAACGTGGCTAACAATTAATTAATTAAGCATTATAGGTTTGAGAATGTTACATCAATAACGAGCTTGTAGTTGAGAACACATATAATATTACTTATGTACTATTACCAATAATATGTAACCATATATTTCCTACATTAAAGATTAAATTTGACAGGTTATATATTAGGTTTTAAATATTTTTATTAGTCTAAACATCTAAAAGAGGTAGAAATTACATTATATAGCCTTACATTCAAATCTAGAAACGTAAGTAATAACATTAAGTACAACGTATAATGATAAACCTAATTATAAATTAGATTTGGATATCAAAATTAATAATGTACCAAGATCTATACCCATATAACATAGCACTTGAACTTGAACATAGGAAACTATGTAAATATTATATTTGAGTTTAAACGTCAATAGATAGTAAAGCTGTGCCAGCAGTCGACATCGTAAAAATATTAAAGTCATAAAGAACTCAATACTAATTGTTTATTCAATGTTTTATTGTAACATTAACAGTTTGTATAGTAATAATTATATTGCTAACACATTATTGACGGCTTTGTTAATTACAACAATAAGATAGTATATATAAAATTTGGCGTCCCATAATACATGATAGTGACAATACCTACTTCAGTTTACAATCTATGAATTGATATAGCACTAGGAAATAGATTGATCAATAACATGCACTGATGATTACGTGCAATGAAGCGTAATTCTTATTGAAGCCCATTAATAGACTAAATTGCCATTTCGTGGTGATTCAATTTGTCACATTAAACTGGGATGAAATAAATTGTTAATAATATGGACTAATGGTCCCATTGCTAGTAAAGTAACGTATCGAACGTTAGTTCCCTTTGGTGGATGATTTCTGGTGGACACGTCTTCATACTCATTCTATAATTCTCCACTACGATATATGACACCTATGATATGTAAACTGGTGCACAATTCCATTATCATTCATAAAAACACATATCATTAGTACGTGTTAACCATTTATGTCTTTTATTTCTTGAAATTTTAATAGCGAGTTTTAAGACACCATATAATTATAAATATTTGTTTACAATATCATATACCCTATGATTATGCATTTCGTCAAATAGGAAACAAAACTGACACGCTGTATGGTCTCTAAAATATTAGTAAAGATACTTTCTTAATAATATTGGTGACATTTAAGATTTGAAAAGTACATAAACTTACACAGTTAAAACAAAGATTATTATTAAAACATATTTGCATTATTCACATTTCAAAATACTAATAACAAATTTTAAGTCTAACGTTATGATTATGTATTTCACAAAATAATACAACTAATACTAGAATTATATTTTCTCACTAAAGTTTGTGATATTTAAGATCGAAAGTACATCACGGTACATAATTTTTAAGAAAACAACTACATTTATAGTACATACAAACTAATCCATACATACGTGTGCATATTTAGGCCATATATATAAATTGATAAAATTATAGTGGGTAGATTAATAAGTTTAAAAGGACTAGTATCACTTTATATACAAAACACTTAACTATACATGGAATGCTCAAAATCGGTTCCTTTTTTCATATTGTCTATCAGACATAATAATTATATAATTTTAGCAAACGTAATTTTATTAAATTAAATATAATTAATTACGCTTCTGTGATTCCATATCAAGAAAATAGTCAACACTCAAGAAAACCTACATTTCAATATTAATGTTATAATGCTGAGTCCTGTTATAGAACATTGTCTAGAAATTTAATTTATTACATTTTTTTAGAAAAGTAATGTTCAGATATAAATAATACAATAACTGCAAATTATTTCTCTTAAAGCTAATTTCACAAATAATTATATTGAAAAGTACGAAATCAGAGTTATAATAGAAAATATCGTGACTATAATAGTGGCGATATCATGAAAAGTCATCAGCATGATGAATTATTGGAGACTTAGTATTTCTCCGCCATTTGTATGTCAGTACAATTCACTAAACGCCATTGGATGGGGGAGTGGTGTGTGGACCCTCATGTCTTCAATAGATTGATGCGGCTCCATCAGCATCGTACCTGATACCACATTGGGCACTGTACCTGGCAGTATGGACCCATTTGCCGAGTGCCCTGGGTTGCCGTTTGACTCTTGTCGCATAATGTTTCTGCGCCATTTCGCTCGAGCATTTTGAAACCAAACCTAGGAAAATTGGTATTACAAATTAGATAACAAATGATATTACAAATCACATGATTTTATGTACTAACTATATATTACTTAACGGGTCATATTTTAGAATACCCTTTGATAAATTCATATTTATGCAATCTGTGAATGCCTTAAATACCGATTGTTAAAACAATAGACAATACAAATGTATTTTCAATTTTAAAGTATTATTGTAACTGGCGACTTCTGCCTCTTCAAATTTCAACTCTTCGAATAATCCGGCGATACCACTAACCTGTGTTTTTTATTATTTCCCATAAAAATAAGAGTTCGAGGTCCTTCGAGCCGGATGAGCCAAATATGTAAGACTAATGCTTTTGTTCACCTAAGAAATATTCACGAATTAAGAACATCTTCCTACTTTTCAGTCTTTTAATACACCCGGTACCTATAGATTACAAACCTGCAACACTCTCTTGGACAGCCCAGTTTTATGTGCCAACTGTTTCAAATCTTTTGCATCTGGGTTCTGATTGATAGCAAAATATGACTTCATGGTCCTAAGTTGGTGATGTTTGAAGCTGGTCCGCATACGCTTGGTCCTCTGTGTGTGACTGGACACGCTACCTGGTGATGCAACCGACGAATCATATGCCAGCGACTCCATTGATGAAGATAAATCTCCACGATGAAGTATCTCTGGAACAATCACAAAGATTTGAGATTCTGTTGCGATTATTATTCTGTAGTAAATTATAGTTTACTAACTACTAGATAAAAAAAAATATAAACTAATATTGACATACACAATCACATTGTGGAATCCCCTTCCAGCAATAGTATCTACGAATTGATACGATATTGAAACCGTCTTTATTATAGAAAAGACTTTATTCCTTCTTAAAAGGCCGGCTTAATGCGCTTACAATTCCTCTGGTATTGCGGGTGCTTATGGACTGCGGTACTCACTTACCACAAGCTAGTTTGTGCCTTATGCTATAAAAATACATTAATATTACTAGTATCACCATAATCCATCAAATACAAAATATCAACTGTATCTTCCCCCTCTAAAATACTAACGAATACCTTTAACTCTTGCTCAGTCTTACTTAATGATGTAACGCAAACGACTTTATATAAAATCTACCTGCAGTACGAATAAGTTATAAAAACATTCAAATAACTAAGTAAACCTGGACAACTAACACAAGATCTTCAATTCCTTATCTAATCAGAGCTTATGATATGGAAGAGCTAAACATAGTAAATATTTAAAGAAAATCAGAACCGAACCCAATCTTACTAATATTATAAAAACGAAAGTTGTGAGTATAGATGTATGGATGGATGTTTATTACTCTTTCACGCAAAACTAGTGAAATTATTTTGATAAAATTTTACAGTAATATAGCTATTGCATCAGAATAATACATACCCTGTATTATATAAAATATAGTAAATTGGATGAAGAAGTGTAACAGACTAAGTTGCGCAAATTAGCAAGTTTTTAATAAGATAAACCAATACTTGTTAATGTGGCTAATTACTGGTATCACCGTCATCATCATCAATCATTAATATATAATGATTGGTTGTCATTATCGTCCCACAAGTCAGGATAGATCTCGGCTCAAACGACTTACCAATCTGGCCAAGTGGTGAAGTTTTCTATTGATATTTGAATTTACAAAATCTGTTATGGTTTTATGCTATTTATATATTTTTATACTTATTATTAAAATAATTATATAAGTATAAATAATTTAAAGACTCTTCAAAAATAAAGTAAAAATACATAGGTATAATTTTTTTGTCTTGACTGGTTTTTTATATGCGGCAGATATAATACAGAGAAAGGGCTTTTAAAACGGAAACCAATCACTCTCGCATTCGTCTACGTAACCGTGACAACCGCATCCAGAAATTGACTAAAGCCACCGGAAGCTGGGAAATTACACCGGATAAGCATCCCTATTCCATGCGGTTGAAACTAACTAACAAGATGTAGTGTAGTCAACGGCTAATTGCATTTGCAAAAATAATAACTTATTTGTAGTCTTTTAATATTATAACGATTATTTTCAATTACAATCATTAGTCATTCATACAATCATTAGTCATTAGTCATTATTTATTATCATCATTATATTTATAACAATAATTAAACTTAACCATAAAGATGTGTTAAAAACTTACAGCTCCCATATTGGCCACGTTGGAAAAAAAATATTATCGTTATTACCGGAGTTACTGTATCTAAAACTAAATTTAAGTTTTATTACAATATCTTCTGAAATATAGCGCTATGATACACCAGCGTATAAAATACCACTTTTAAGTTTCTAACCCCTAAAAATAGCTACGAATCCATCAATCTTTAATAACAAGCTCTATAAAAAGATCTAAATATTGTTTTTATTTTTACAACAAAATATTTATAATTATTTCACACTTAACACAATTATTATTCTTAATAACCATGTCAAAATAATGCTAACTTTTTAATTAAGTACATAAAACTGGTAGATATATGTTTGATCAGAATCTATCTTTAACTTAAGCATAGGTATGCTTAAGTTGCCGTTTGACTGGTTACTTATATACCAAGTCCATAGAACCATGCCTACTACTATACTATACGGAGTCAGTCAGTGTGACAATCCAATTAACGAAGACCGCGTTAATAGCGTCACCGTATAGACTGATTGGCTAATATACAGGCACAATATGAAGCACCAGGAACATGAATGTTGTCTAATTGATGTGCCGTGTCAGGTACATCTGTCGACGCCTTTATACATGAACGGCATTAAGGCATATGACACCTGTGATACCACTCATCCGTTGCCACTCCAGAAGTCTAAGTTGTAATGCCTCTGAAAGTTCACTGCCTAAACTCACCCTACAACTGAAACAGCGCAATCTTCTTGGCTGCTGAAGTTAGTGAGATAGGAGATATTACTTGTTACCTAGAAATAAGGTAACATTTCGGAAAGCATAAAATATTCGAATTTAAATTGAATTTTGTACGTCATTCTCAAAAATGAGGATGTAATATTAAAGTCACGGTAGTTACACGGTTAGAGAAAGACTTAGAAAAAGATGATGATGTCGTATGTTAAAGACTATATTAAACTATTATGTCAAAAAATAAGATCAGTTTCTTAAAAGACATGCAGTCCTGCCTTCTAAATTACAAACTGAAGATTGACTTCTAATTTTTATTCGTAATAGAATAACATAATACTTAAACAGTATTAAATATGTATTGTATATATATATATATATTATTATTGTACACAGTATCTATCTGAACATTGCGTATTGTTGTTGGCGTCTATTTATTCTTAGAAAAGAACGCGTTCAATCTTGACTAGTACCAATATAACTTCCGGACGCCGGCGCCGGACGCTGTGGTCGCAAAGACGCATTTTATTGTTAAGATTGAAAAAATACTTTCGCTTATCGAGAGGAAATCGATGAGTTCCAAGCACTGGGTGCTATTCAACTGAGACTTTATAATGACTATAATATACATATATGTATTTAAAAATATAATGAAATATATAGACAGTAGCCTTTTGTGCAAAAGGTATCTGAAGGCCTTTTCTAATCGCATTCGCATCGTTTCAATTTTGTAAAACTATTTGAATCATTGTATCGCTTTCAGATGCCTTCAATGATAAAATAAGAAGTTGTTTGAATTAGATTGTGACTAAAATAATAATATTAATGCTAAAAACACAAATAGTGACTTTTTTATTTTATATATTAATTCCATTGTATTCCTTAGCATCAATGTTATACAAATATTATTATTCTTATAGAAATGTATCAAAAGAACTATAGTACAATATTATTTATTTACAAAATATCATTACCAAACATAACCGATTGTTAGATAAAATACATATTTCTTTACTTGATAGTAAATTGGTAATTATGTCGAGGCCCCTCCCTCTTGCATGGATGTCAAAACAAATAATAATATGATAGATGTACAGATAATTTGACATGTTCTTTATCATGATATAGCGTAATGGGCTCCGATGTTATAAGTCAGTGAGCATAAATTTATTTCTCGCCCCAAAAACACGCGGGTGGTTTTTCTTTTCTGTGCCTCTCACCTTGCGATAAAAAAGTATAAGTACACTATATTTCAACATTATTAATTTCACCATGCTTACAAATACTTTCCGATGTGCTTGGGTAGTAATTAAAATTTATGAATACAAACTTCTAAACTCTGATTCTAGAAGTTTACTCTTTTGTTATCCTTGAACTATAATTATTAGAAGGTCAGGTCTATGTTTAGTATGTGATACATAAAAGCTAACTGTAAATTAGTAGTGCAAGGAATGATGAAAGAAATTATTTTATAGAATTTCCTACAATTACTTTATGAGACAATCCACGTTAGCTGGGATATATATAACAATAATTCAAGTCTATACTCAAAAACACCACCACAAATATCATGTTATCACTCCTCTGTTACCATACCAAGGATCGATCATCATCATCATCATTACATACTAAAAAGAATTGCTGTTGCTGTGTGTCTCTATGTATGCTTAAATCTTTAAAACTACGAAACGGATTTTGAAGCGGTTTTTTTTATACATAGAGGGATTCTAGAGGAAGGTTTCTTTATATAATACATGTACACCCGTGCAAAGTCGGGGCAAGTAGCTAGTAATCTATAATTTATCTAATTTCGGAAATGTTCTATTAAACCGTAAACTTTGCGAAAACACACAATCTTTTTGTTATAGGTACCCTTAAAAAATATTTGAAGCACCAATGCTTATAAATTAGAAGTATTAGTTTGATAACATCGTGAAAACTAGTCTTTAATAGAATAAAAACAAAAAGAAATATCAAAAATAGTGGTAAAAAAACGTCAATATGACCTTACTGTGAAGTTCATCCACGCAATAAGTTATAATTATTAAATTCGTAATTAAATAGATGTTTCGAGTGATTTAAAAGCCGAGGGTCCAATAGGTGGTCGGTGTTAATTATTTTTTATTGTTTCTTTTTACCACTGTGTGGGGACCGCTCTGCTCTAAATGTTCCGTTTAGGGGGAAGCGAGCTTTATACAGTTAATTAATAACTAGTCCCTTGGCGGTATTCCCGGAATTTCACAGTTCGCGGATTCGATTCCGGTCAAATGACTTATATTTCTTTGTCTATTTTATGATCTTAATCAACTAATGTAATTTATTACAGCTGTCTTTTAACTGACACTCACGAGCTAATTTTTAGTATATGCCCCAACAAATGGGAGGTTATTATTTTGAACCGACTTCAAAAGAGGGACTTCCTAATTCAATAACTTTGCTGTATTTACATATATATTGTCACTATATTTTACAACCTTGTCAAACGGTGGAAATTTCAATTTTACCTGATATCTTTACCAGAACTGATTTAATTATTTTTTGCAATTAAATTAATCATTACTTATATGTTATTTTTATATTAATGTTTAACTAATGAACATGTACTGAGTTGTTTCTATAAATAAGCGACTAAAATGACTCACATAGGTAAAAGTTATTTCTAATTACCAAATTTATTTCATTAATCTATCCTTATCTTCTTAAACTTTTGAATAAAAGAGAAAACATCAATCATTACTTCATGACTATAGATGTTCAGCAACTTTCCTCGTCCACTGTCACTAAACAAG